TTAGTTTGTTTTTAGCCAAGGTTTGTTTTCTATTATCATTATGCATGTCTAAGATCCATTGGTACTCAAATGATTTGTTTATTTTTTTATGAATAAAGTCTAAATTTTTCTTAATTATTTTTTCACTTGAGTTTACAATGGTGACAACATCTATATCTTGCATGAGGATTTCTACACTTGTAAACCATTTACTTTTTACATTCTTATTTACTAAGTAGGCTTCTCTTAGTAATGTGTTATCAGAGTTTGTTACCCGGTTGAAATATTTAAGTTGTTGTTTCTTGATAAAACAGTCAATGGGGTACTTTCCTAGCTCACCATAAACAGCCATTTTTGGTGTGAATTTTGAGAGACCAAGAATGAACCAACAAAAGAAAGATGGACATCCTCAATTGCAGACTTAGTTGTGCTTTCATCACCCCAAACATCACTACCACATACAATAATTGGTCTTATCAGTTTGTCAAATAAAGATAGTTGGAGGGGTATGTTTAGTGAGTTGTCATAACCGAGTTTGCATTTCAAAGCAAAGAGAGCTTTCATCCCTTTATTTTTTAAATTATTGATACCCTCTTTATGTTTGCCATTAGCACTTATAGTTATATCCAGGTAATTAATTTGCATAACAATGTGTCCTGAAGAGGGGCTTATACCCCCCTGAGCATATACAATTAAAATTGGTGCAGGATGATTGGTGAGGGGCAGGATGAGGATTTATTGGTGAGGGGATGGATCTCTTTTCATCATATTACATCAATCCTACAATGATTACATTATAAGTTATTGTGCGATTATTTTGAAATCAAAATATGCATGTTTTTTTTTTAAATCTTTTTCAGTTATGTACTGCAAGTTATGCAGCTGAGAAACGTGTATGAAAAATAAAATTTCAACAAATTAATAAAAACATCATTACCTATTTGATTTAGCGCGTATAACTAGGAAACTTGACGTTGAAAACTAAGCGCACAGATCACTGCCACGCCAGCAGACGAAAACACCTTGCATCACGTCTGGCCTTTGACCTTTGTGCACATGCGCAACAGACCACTATTATTTTTTGTCGGTTATTCATGTATTAACCGGTGCGAGAATTTCCATCTAATAGGGACAGGTAGGCATATTATTCGGCATTATGGCAATTAGTAATAGATTGTTTTGAAAGTGTGGTATGTGTTTGTCTACTGAAGGGAAATTTAATAGTCATTTCCTGTTGAGTTGCGTTGAAAATAAAGCGGCGATTGATCGACGTGTTTAACACTTCTTCCTTTAAAAATACCTGCATTATCAGTTTTTTATCGTAATGGGATCATGTTCGATTATGTAACTGTGTCACATATAATATACTTTATTTCCGGTTTACAATATTTAACGATAATATCTTCCACGATCCACGAACGTACAGCGAATGTATCTCTGGTTATGAGCAGAAAGCATGCCCTATCATCTGGCGTTTATTTTGTTTTTAACTATGGTCGTTAATTTTCAATCACCTTAGATATTTTCTGTAAAATCTTTATTTCTAAAATAATCATTCAAATCGGTTGAAATGTACAACAAAGCTTATTTGGTCAGATCAAAAAAAAATTACAAATGTACTTGGCCGCCATTTTGAAAAGCGCCCTCATTTATACCAAGTCTTTCTTACAACAGTGCAACATTAAGGGGAGGTCAACTCTGTAGCAAACGAATTATTTCCATTCTCTGAAATATATACACATTTCTACTACACTAATTTTGGGTACCCATGGATGTTATTATGTTATTTTCAAAAACAAATGATAGATGTAGATTTAAATTCACTATCAGGCACTTTTTTTTACCACCTTCTAGGTGAGAGGAGGGTAGCATATTGAACGACACTACGGTCAATTCCAAATTATATTCACCAACACCAGTGACATCAAAATCACAGCAACTGTGATTTGTCAATCTACCATTTTGAGTTACTGAATGTTATTTACAAATTTATAAATCCATCATGATCAAAGTTGAGGGTGGAATATAACAAAAAAGAACAAATGTGGATATATCTTAGATTTCACTTTTTGCTAGCAAGTGCGTACAAATCCTTTTACATTTTTTATTATATCGTTAGTCCCTGTTTCGAACAAAGTCTGAAATCATGGGCTATTAATTTGGATTCTGCCGTCTGTGGCTGACTGGCTGCCAGTTTTGTCATCAAATTTGCGAAATTCTGATACTCAAATCTGTCCAGATCTGTTTCTAGCTAATGAGCAAGATGCATATTAAGTTATGTGTTTATTAAAGTAGTGATATCTTGAGATCTACACATAGGGCTTAGTTTATTAAAGTAGTGATATCTTGAGATCTACACATAGGGCTTAGTTTATTAAAGTAGTGATATCTTGAGATCTACACAGGGCTCAGTTTATTAAAGTAGTGATATCTTGAGATCTACACATAGGGCTTAGTTTATTAAAGTAGTGATATCTTGAGATCTACACATAGGGCTTAGTTTATTAAAGTAGTGATATCTTAAGATCTACACATAGGGCTTAGTTTATTAAAATAGTGATAACTTGAGATCTACACATAGGGCTTAGTTTATTAAAATAGTGATATCTTGAGATCTACACATAGGGCTTAGTTTATTAAAATAGTGATATCTTGAGATCTACACACAGGGCTTAGTTTATTAAAGTAGTGATATCTTGAGATCTACACATAGGGCTTTGTTTATCAAAGTAGTGATATCTTGAGATCTACACATAGGGCTTAGTTTATTAAAGTAGTGATATCTTGAGATCTACACATAGGGCTTAGTTTATTAAAGTAGTGATATCTTGAGATCTACACATAGGGCTTAGTTTATTAAAATAGTGATATCTTGAGATCTACACATAGGGCTTAGTTTATTAAAGTAGTGATATCTTGAGATCTACACATAGGGCTTAGTTTATTAAAATAGTGATATCTTGAGATCTACACATAGGGCTTAGTTTATTAAAGTAGTGATATCTTGAGATCTACACATAGGGCTTAGTTTATTAAAATAGTGATATCTTGAGATCTACACATAGGGCTTAGTTTATTAAAGTAGTGATATCTTGAGATCTACACATAGGGCTTAGTTTATTAAAGTAGTGATATCTTGAGATCTACACATAGGGCTTTGTTTATCAAAGTAGTGCATATAATATTTCCAGTTTGGGATCTTGACCAAGTTTGACTTTAATATTAATATTTTTTCAAGATATTGGTTAGCTTTCACTTAGTGTTTACTTCTCGTGGTTATAATAGCTCTTACAATTTTTATCTGATCATCCTTGAATTTTGGAATCTCATCAATCACTATGAAATGTCAATCAAGTTCAATTTTGGTGTAACTCGCAAGTGTAATTTTTCAAGATATGGGGTAAAATTGGGCTGAAACAAAACCTTTTGTTAAATTCAAAATAAGTAGATAGAATGAAGACTTTTATATTGCTGATAATGCAAAACAGATGTTAGTAATACGCTTTCCAAGGTATGTTGTTTTAATGTATAAATCAAAGAAGTGACAAGTACAATGCAATTTCCCTGCATTTTTCAAATTAGGCTGGTATTTTATTTTGCTTATATTTATTTATAAACTTTGATGATGCTGGTCACACCTCTAACAAACAGTCAAGATCTGATTCAACTAACATTTTTTCACAGAGAACACAATCATCTCATGTCAACACTGTATAACACATGGTATATAATTCATTACAGACTAAGTATCAACTGAAGTAAAAATGCCGGTCATTGAAGAAGTACCAGATGATGAACCCACAGCTGGTCCATCAACGTCAGGAAATGATGGTCCTGGTACCTCCAGTGAAGATACTGCTCCCCCTCAACCTCCAGCTGGTTACAACTGGCAGGCATTAACAGTAAGTATCCATTGATATCAATAGGTGTATTACAGGAATGACAGTATCCTCTCCAACTCCTCAAGCATGGTGGCTAATTTGCATATGTATTGCAATAGCGATAAGTAACCTATCATCAACTTGTATTCTTTGCGTTTCAATTCAGCAGCCAAAACCCAGTAAGCATCACTGTTGCAAATTGTGTTAAAGCAGAGCCACTAAACATACATTTGAATGTGGCATGCTTATGAACTTGCGTGACTATCTTACAAATTTCAAAAATGATGAAACTACACCATATACAGTAAACAACAATTTTGTCGCCTCCAAATTTGTTATTCTAGTTGTGATAACCTTGTCATGTCTGATAGGAATCCCATGTGACTTGGGCAACACATGTAGATGTAGCATTGTTTGTTTACAAGAGAATTGGAACACGTACATGTACATGTACATTGAAGCATGAGCTTTTATTGTACAGTACGTGATGAATGTCACAGAAAATATTTCCAAAAGAAAGAAAAAAACCTACTTTTGAAGCTTGGAACATTCACAAATGCATATTTTGTGTGGTGCATGTTTTAAAAACACCAAGACATTCTTGCTACTGTAAAGGGGTTAATTATTCACTGGGTTTTACATTTGCTTATTTTGCGTACTGGAAAATGTACTAAATTAAAACCCAGTGAATATGTAAAATTTAGCATAGAATACATTATCAAAATGATAAAACCGTGAATTTAAAACCCACTGAATATGCCTGGAATGGTAAATCAGCAAAATTTAAACCCAGTGAAAATTAGTCATTTTACAGTAATCTACAAAGTTAAGGCATATTGTCTTTCCATTAGTGAGTTAAGTAAATAAGTACATCAGATAAAAACTATTTGAAAATCTCATAAATTACAGCTTATCCATTATAATTACTAATATTTTATTTTTCACTGCTTTCAGGTTTATATATCAAATAATAAAATTAATACGTCATTATGGTTATCAAGATGGTTCACCGTCGCTTGTTGTATAGTATTTATAATCCCTATATTTGGGTGAGTATCTCTCATTTTGTGTATACTTTGTACTCATCAGACAGTTAATCTTGTGTTATAGACATTATTCCCAGCGCAGAAATGACATTTTTATGAAATCAATTTCTGCATCACAAGCTTTCTAGTAATTAAATGATAATTGATATGATGTAATCTCATTTTATGAACAAGATAATGTAATCTGTTTTACGACTTTCAAAGTTATGATAACAATAAATAAAGTTCCACTACCATAATTGCCCTATTCAAAGCACTGTACCTTTTACATGAATGTACAGTGCCTCAGTCAATACTATAAAACATGTTAAAAAAGCGGCATGCAATTTTAGCGAATTGTGGTAAAAAAATGACATAATATCGAAATGTTGATTTAGCAAATCTCTCTTATTGTTGATTTCTTTGTTTGGCGGACATTTTGAATTTATAATAAAGTCATTAGCGACATCTTGAATTAGCGAATCAGTTCTCTTGCTAAATTTGTGAAAAAGACATGCTCGCGAAAAAGGCATGTTTTACAGTAAATTCTCTTTGGGTCAACAAAACTGAATAGTGATCATGCTATTGGTATCTGTTTGTTCAGTATGTATTTCAGTTTTGCTTTCCAATTCAATGCAATGCAATGTGAATTTAGCTATCAAGTATTTAAGTTTGGATAACCATTAATTATAAATATGCCTGTGACTACTCTATGGGATCTTGTGTACTCATTGTATGAAATCATAGTATGAAATCAAGACTATTATAGTTTTCATGTACATGTCAATTCATTGTCCCTTTATGCAAAGCATAAACAGGTGGTATATATGTCATTTCGGTGTCTGTCTGTCTGTTATGCCGTCTGTCCCTCCGTCCCAATTCGTTTGTGTGTCCTTCCATCTGTCCATCATTCTATCCACCACTACAGTACAGTTATCGCGGTAGCTTTGGCATTTGTGGCATCATTGTCACTGACGCATGGCTTCATTGTGGCCTCAGCATCGCATCATTGAGGCCTCAGCATCGCATCATTGTGGCATCAGCATCGCATCATTGTGGCATCAGCTTCGCATCGTTGTGGCCTCAGCATCGCATCATTGTGGCATCAGCTTCGCATCATTGTGGCCTCAGCATCGCATCATTGTGGCCTCAGCATCGCATCATTGTGGCATCAGCTTCGCATCATTGTGGCCTCAGCATCGCATTATTGTGGCATCAGCGTCGCATCATTCTGGCATCAGCTTCGCATCATTGTGGCCTCAGCATCGCATCATTGTGGCCTCAGCATCGCATCATTGTGGCATCAGCTTCGCGTCATTGAAAATTAAAGCTGTGTTCGCCTCACTTATTTTGTGGCATGATCGTGGCCTCTGCTTCGCAGTCTTGTTGCATCATTGTATGTGTGTCAAAGCTGGATTACAGTAAAATTTTATACACAGGTACTATTTTATAAACAACAGACCTAATTAGTTTTTGGTACAAATCTGTGCATGTTAAGTATATGATTGCTGTGTGTACAAATTTAACACTTTTGTTTAAATAACATTTTTTTGAAATTTTTAGCTCAAATGCAATGCAGGATATGTCACTTATATTATACATAATGTCGTAGTTTGTTGGGATTTGTTTTGCATCTAAAACAATAATTATGATGCTTTAATTTGCGACTATACTTACATTTAGTGCTATTTATTATAGATCTGGGTATGCTTATGCCGCTTATCAACGTGCATTAATTAGTAATGGACTCACGAGTGCGTTAAGATTACATCAGAGATTACCACGAATTCAGTTGACAAGGGAGTTCTTTGGAATGATGTTGCTAGAAGATAGTTGCCATTATCTTCTTTACTCATTGCTGTTTGCAAATTCCCATCCAATTACACGTATCCTTTTTAAGAGTGTCTTCGGAGCCTCTCAAATTGTACATATGTATCTGTGTGATGCATTGTTACACGCAACTCTTTGAGTACTACTATGGCCTCACTACCTGCAATGTTTTTTAATATTGAATGCATTCCAATATAAATAACTTTGTGTATCTGGATATAGTTGTACTGCACTGTGGTGTATGTGATGCGACTGAGGTATATATGTTACAGAATGATGTGGCTGTGATGTATATGTTAAAGAATGATGCGACTGCAAATTATTGTTTTTTTTTTTGCCACATTATATACTATGTTACGGAATGATGTGGCTGTGGTGTTACATGTATGTTAAGGATTGATGTTGGGACAATGCTGTTATAAATTAGGGCTAACCATTCAGCAAAACGGTTATGTGCAGTTATGATTTCTAGCAATTTAACTAATCTAATTTTGATGAAATTCATTTTAAAAAGTTTAAAGAGTCATTTTTTTTTTTGGATCGGGTTCGAAATGGCCGACTGGCGGCCATTTTGTTTTAAAGAATTCAGTTCTGGATCCGTATCTGAGACATGCTTGGATTGATCGAGTTCAAACTTCACACACACAAGGTACATCATGTCACAAATATGTATGTGCATTTGTTTCATGATCTCATTAACGATAGCCAAATGGGGGCCGCTTTAATGCCGAAAATGCATTGAAATCGCACATTTTCACCATTCCGGACCCGGATCTCAGTTATGCATGGACGGATTTCATTCAAATTTGGTACATACATTAAACATAATAGGACCTTGATGCACGTCATTTTTTTCTTCTGATCAAGTTCGAAATAGCCGACTGGCGGCCATTTTGTTTTAAAGAATTCAGTTCTGGATCCGTATCCGAGACATGTCTGGATTGATCAAGTTCAAACTTCACACACACAAGGTAC